AGGAAGGCATTTTAATATTCTGTTTACAACAAGGACACACGTGCTATGACACCACATATCTATTTAGTATAGACAGTGATATCACTACAAGTGACGTTGTTTTTGTTTTACAATTTTAACATCTTGAAATTGATCAATCTGCTTACGCTACTGCAAAGAAGAAAAAAAAAAAAACGCTGTCCTGTTGAAAACTTATGGCCAGCGTTGATTTGCGATCAGGGGAGGTGCACCGAGCACGAAAAGCCCACGAGTGCTTGACTCAGCTGTACGCATGTGCAACATCGCGACACCAGACAGAGCGCTTCTCCTGACAGATGGCGTCACGGGAACGCGGGACCACGCACTCCAATGGTAAACTTCATTTTGCTAAGCATTGTAAAGTTGTATATAAAAAAAAACTACATATAGTTTGTTGCAGCATAAAATCTGCAGCAGATGTTTCCACAGCAAAATTTCTATCTTCAACGTCTCTTGAGCGCGCACAACCAAAGCACGGCGGAAGGCAAGTTAGCGCCTTCTCGATGCGGCGTTTCTTCTGCACACCTCATGTCACGACACACAGTAGAGCATGCATGCCAACGCTTCTGTCTCGCTTCTTCATAACCCCTGGTGGCGATAGAAAAAAAAAAAAATTACCTGCCCAAGGCGACTTATGTTTCCGGACGCTTGGGCAGGCTCATTATACTGCTGTTCGCTTGAACAAACGGAGCAACAAACTGAGTTCGTGTACACTGTTTTTTTTTTCTCCACGTCTGTAGCTCTTAGCCGCGGTCACACTGCCCATACATAATTAAAAAAAAAAAAAAAAGTCTGCGAGCATTCTTTGAGGAGTTTCTCTTTTTTGTCCTGTCGCAATAGGTGTGCAGAAACTGAAGAAAAGTTAGAAGAATATGCACATATATAAAACATACATGCTTCGACCATGCTTTAGGCCTGTCCACAGATAATTATGTCATCGTATCTGCAGCGTATACACCGTGTTTTTCGTACGAAGTATGATTATTGTGACTGCGGTGTTAGGCCTCTCGTCCGAGAGGGCATATGAAAGTCCGACTTACGTGGTGCGATTTTTTTTTTGCGATTTCGCAGTTGCGACGCGGCTCGTGCTGCAGAAAAAAAGCGTGGTGGAAGGTGCGGTTCTCGACGTCGTGGCTGCAAAAATCGCGAGCAGAATCGTACCATGTGAATCAGGCTTGAGAGAACGCGAAAGCAGTGAACAGGAAACAAATGTCCAACAGTGCCATAGTTTATTTGAAGAACGTTTTGCTGCCGCCCTTTGTAGTCGGGCTGGCCGTTGAAGTCTATGTACTTCGCGGCTTCGGTGAACATACTATTTTCGCTACTATATACAGGAATGATTGAGAAAAATGTGCAGCGGTGTCAACCCGCTCTTTAGTGATCACTTACGTATATGTCAAAAATAAAACTAAACGAGTGCTGTTTCAACAGTTGTGGGTATGGTCGTACGTATTCGCGATGTGTTTCACTGTAAATATGAGAGAATCATAGCGATGAGTACGACTGAAGTCGTCAGGTGCCGTTAGTTTTCGTATAAACGCAGCACTTGAACTAGTGTACACTAACACTTCGATCCCACTTTGCATGGTCCCGAAAATTCGGTTTCTCAACGTATCGCGCTTAAATTCATTACAGAGGTGGCCGAAGGAGGAGCCATTTATTCATTGAAACTCTGAATACATGAAACCCCCGGAGTTAAAAGAAATAAAATAAAGACTGGGTTTGTTTATGATATAAATGTCGCTAAACCTTTGTATTTCTCAAAATCAGTAAAATAAAAAAAAAAATCGTTCTGAGCAGTTTTTGCGTTTATTACGACTTAAACGTTGGGGAAATGGAAGGAAAATACAATTGGACTTACCTATTCTACACTTGATTCTAAAATAAGTGCCAGAGTGACACAAAATATTATTTTAGTGTACATTTCTATGTATAGGGAAAACACAGTTTTTGTTATTTCGCGATTTATTCGGGTAAGCCAATCTTTCCACAATTTTAGTGAAAGCTTCCACTATCTTGGAGCACCTCTGCAGTAAATCTTAGTGGGATAGTTAAGAACCAGATTTATGTGGACCGTCCAAATTGGTATCGAAGCGTTAGTGTAAACGCTGCATAATGGGACTATTTTATTTCGTTTCCAAACTTAAAAATTTATAACAGAAAAAAAAAAAAAAAAAAACTACCGGATGACACGCTAGAAAAATAGTCATATTTGCACCCAGAATACAATCTACATTTCGATGAAAGTTCGATCTCTTTCAGAGGGTGCGCTAGAGACAGAGATGCGATGCCAAAGTTCTAATAGATTTTGTTTACCAAAATGATATATTTTGTCTCACTTAATGCTCGAGCGAAGCCGAAACTACAAACACGAGCATGATACCTTGAACGATGCTCGCACTGCACGAGCGCTCACGCTTGGCAAGGACGTAGAAAGTACCCCGAGTTAGCTCTTGCGGCTTCTGCTATGCTCGTACATCAGGTGAAACAAGCGAACGTGAAGAGAAAAGTAAATAACTTCGCCAGTGTTCACATCAAATTGCGCACCGAAGATGGGACCTTACAAGGTGTGAAATTACGTGAAACTTCTTTGTTTCATCTTAATTAAATGAAAGGGTAGTAGAAGCTTCATGAACGTGTTCCGAGCTTTAAGCTTCCATGCCAAATACGTGCGCTCGTTTAGTACAAGCATCATTTCGAACAACTTGCTCGTGCTTGTAGCTTTGCATTGTTCGCACAAAAGTGAGACAAACTATAGCTGCTTGCTTGCGTTAAAGTTTGAACCTCGTTGAATAATTTGTTTACTTATTATTAAAAGTACTCACGGGACTACGGACTCAAATTGGCATCTTACGTAGTCGTTGCAAGACATCTGTGTGTTTCTGTTGTCTCCAAAGTAACTCTCTCGGGTACTTACTTTTCTGCATGTTTAAACTTCTCCCAGCTCACTTGAACACTTTAATTTTATGTTTACTGTAAAAAAAAAAAAGTAGTGTGTACGGCCTGAGAAATCTTAGACAGTATGTTCCACATGAGAAGAGTCAGACTGATCGCTATGGTGCAGTTCTATGATCTTCTTAATACTTCAGTGATGAAAGAATGGGACCCAATATGATGATAATGTAATTAATGCAAAGGTGCAAGCGAGCTGGACAAGATTTGTGTTTTTCCTTACTCCTCCTTATTCTCCTTCTCCTGGAATTATTATCCTTATGACTCAATATGATTTCTTAGGGATAGACTCAACTGAACATATTCAGCTGCTTGCATAATCTTCATTCAATGAAAAGCAGAGGTGATATGTTAGACAAATACGCCCTGCCCTTTTTTGTCCCTAGTACCCCAGAAACCTTGTGGCAATAAATTAATAAATAAATAGAATCAGCTGCCATAAAATGTGAATAATACAAATTAACAGGCTAAAACAAGAAGAAACTACTTTAGAACCAAGTAAACAACAAAGGCTGGCGTACGTCAGTACAGATTTTGTAAACTCCATTGTTATGCAGATTACACTTTTAGTATGGTATTTCGAAATTTACACAGCTTGCTGCCATAGTCTGAAGCATTTCCACCTCAGTTGCATATTTATGAAATAGTAAGATAAGACTGCCATTCATTTGTTATACAGAGCCGTTCATTATAGAATAATTTAGGTGTGGGCACAGCTTGAATAAACTAGAAAGTGTTTATGCTCACCTCTGTTTTAACGTTTCGTGCATCTTGGCTCTGTGAGGTTTTGGACACAAGCGGTAATAAACTGGCGCCATAATGAGCCTAGATTTCACAACGCAAGTTCGGAAAAAACTTCCCGCATTGTCTGCCAGCAACGATGATCTTGATGTTGTGTGGAATGCACGTTGCGGAAACGCTATGGAAGCTCATCCTCAGTACACGCTAATTGGCAACGAACTCAGCTATGGTCAACAGTGAATATTACCTGTTCTTTGTTGCACCATAAGTGGGAGGGGAGCGGAGATATCAACCGCAAGTGTGCCACCTTGAACGGTGCTACGCCTCTAATTAGCACGTCTGAACGTCAATGCGGTCTCCAAGTGTTATGCACGCCCTCGTTGTCTCCACTTTGCTCATACTAATGGTAAAACAGTATATCTATTCAGTTGCGATATAGAGATATACCGAACAATCTCTTGCTTTGAAAAGAAAAATAATTTACTCCAATTAATGGCTATTGTTGGTTTAAATCTATGATTTGGTTTCTGGTTTTCATGTACTTATTATATCAAGTATATAGAATGCTTTTTAAAGAATTTTAAGTATAGAATCTTGTCTTTGAGAATTTCAGAACGCTCCAAATGTTGCACGTGCTTATTATATCAAATATGCAGATTGCTTTTCAAAGAACATTAAGTATAGAATTACTTTTTTGAAAATTTCAAAACGCTCCACATGTTACACTACGCTCACACTTATAAAAGTCTGATCTTCACGTCGCTGTTCTTAAACACAATGTCTAGAAGAAAATGTTTTAACTTGTTTTATTTATTTTTTTTAGGACCACACAAGCGTTTATACTAGGCCAAGTCCGCTTACAAAATAAATAGCAATAAGACCTCAGAAGAATGGCTTCTATGTTGTTTTTTTTTGCTTTTTTAAATCTTTTCTTTGATACGTCATTTTGCAATTTGTGTGCAGTGATATCAAAGGCACAGTCAAACAAGCGAAACATTTTTCAAAATGCTTTTGTTTCCACCTTGCGCTGGGAAATGAAACTCATTTATGAATACCACGTGCTCACACCCGTGTTTTAGACAACACAGCACAGAAGCTCTTGACATAGAGCAGAGTGTGCTGGAATGGGAAGCTTCTGTAGCGCGGTAGACACACGAATAAAGCAATGATGATTGCAAAGGCATATATTAAAATTTGACAATTCTGTACTCTTTAAAACCGTTTCTAGTGAGCGATTACAATGCAAACAAAAATAAAGAAAGCATAAAATTATTTTAAGAGTTCTCTTCCGGGGCTGCACCTCGTACTGCAAGGAGCTTAAGAAATGTGCAAGGACAGCTTTTCATAACCTTGGTTACACACAAGAATAGGTGCTCCGCATAGGAGCTGGACTAGTTAAACAAATAAACCAAAACTAAACTGTCACAGCTCACCAAACTAACGAGTCACATTAGCGTGCGTATTAGATGCGATACTTTGCACTTAGATGATGTCGTTGAGTGACTAGGAATCTCCGTGTTGTAGTCTAGTCGAGGCGGCTCAACTTCATGACCCAACGTTGGCCATGAGCGGACTGTACAGGCTTTCGAGAGGCATAATTTGCGAGGCAGTGTTACTGACTAAAGACTTCTGGGGCGTCTCGTACTGCCTGTGACGGTATCTACGCGCCGCCAGAGTCGCCGCACACAGCACCAGGATCATGGCGGACACGATGCCCAGCACGACCGCCACGGCCACGTTGCTCGTGTAGTGGATGCCTTGCAGCATGAAGCTAGCGTCTCTCGTCCGAGCGCGCGTGCACGAGAGCTTCACGTGAGAGCCACCTTCCTCGTCCTTGACGGCGATGCAGAAAACGTACTTGGTGTCCGGCTGCAGGTTGTTGATGGTGTACGACCTGTAAAACTTGCTCACCGTCACCGATCCGAAGCGTCCTGTCGCCCCAACGTCCTTGACGGAAGAATCGTCCACGTTCTTGGGGCCCTGGGGGAAGTAGTCTTTGCCGTCGTCCAGATGGTACTGTATTTCGTACTTGGGAAATGTGTTCCGTGCCGTTCCGTTCCACACGACATTCACAGACGTGGCAAGAATGCCCTGGGGAAAGATGTGGATGTCGATGTTCTCGACCACAAGATCGACCACTTTGACCACGCTGCCGAGCGCGTTCTCGGCGATGCACTTGTATGGCCCCACGTCCATGGGTTTTAAATGGTAGATGGTCAGACTCCCAGGAGGCTTGAACTGAACATGCACGTCGTTGCCCGTGTCGTTGCAGACCCGACCGTTGGGTAGGACCCAACGCACTTTGGGCGCCGGAAGGCCGAGCGCGTAGCACTGAAACACTTGGGCGTCACCGATCTTCCGCTGCACCGTGCTGTTCACGGTGCCGACCAGGTAGGGCGCGCACTCCACGGGTAACTCGGTCAGCGATAGGTTTCGAAGAAGGCGGCCTGCCATCGGCTCCGGCCTGTGGCAAGCCAGGTCTTCGGGTTGCATAAAGTGAACGGACGTGTTTGATAGGGCTGACACGGCCTCAACCGCCCAACGAACATTACAGTCGCAGAGAAGCGGGTTGCCGTGCAGAGAAACCTGTAAAGGAGCGGACACATTGCGGAACAAGTCTTCGCTGAGAGCGGAAAGGTTATTCTGGTGGAGGTACAGCTCCCGGAGGGACGGAACGTTGACGAACGCCTCGGTGTCCACGTACTGGAGCCGGACGTTGTCGTGCAGCCGCAACAACTGCAGGCGGGGCAAGTCTCGAAACGCGCCGCGCTCGATCACGGTCAACGTGGGCACGTGGTCGGCGCTAAGTTCCACCACGGGAAGACGCACAAAGTTCCCGGATCGAAATCCCGTGAACGGGTTGCTACCGATCTGGAGCGTGCGCAGTCCATGGAGTTTTTGCAGTGCCTGCGCAGGCACGCGGGTGAGCTGGTTACTCTCCAGGTGCAGCGAGGTGAGGTTGTCCAGGCCAAGGAAGGCCTGGTCGCTGAGGCCTCGGATGTGGTTGTGAGACAGGGACAGATGCCGGAGGCGGTGCAGCAGGAGGAACACGCGGGAGTACACGTACGAGATGTGATTGTGCGAGAGTGAGAGGCTCTCGAGCGCGAACAGGTCTTGGAACCACTCGGGGTAGATGGCGGGCAGATGGTTGCGGTCCACTGTGAGCACTCGAAGCTGTCGCATTCCGTCAAAGACCCGCTCCTCCATGAACTTGATCTGCACGTTGTTCATGAGGAGCGTCTCGAGCCGGACGACGCCTCTGAAGACACCGTTGAACAGGGTCTTGAACTCGTTGTGGGACAGGTCTAGGAACTTGAGCCTGCTGATGTTGTGGAAGATTATGCCTCGGCCAAGCTGCTTGATGTGGTTCCGCGAAAGGTCCAGTTCAACGAGACTTCGGAGCGACGGAATCTGGTTGTGGAGGTCCGTCAGTTGATTTCCGTTTAAGAGCAAGACCTGGGTGTCTGCGGGTAGGCCTGTCGGTACTGTCCTCAAGCCTCGACCTGAGCAGTTGGCAGTCTTGAGTTTCAAGCCCATGTTCATGGAGGCTTCGAGACTGCACTTGCAGACGAGGGGGCACTGAACGTCCCAGGAGGTGTCGCTGGTCTCGTTTGACGCTACGACAGACCCGCAGGCTAGGAGGAGCACGAGCAGATGGTTCAGGAGAGCGCAGGGCTTCGTGACTAGTAAATGCGGCGTGGCCGAAGTACCGGAAGTTTTTCTCCGGCGATCCATCGAGATTCAGTGAGGTCCCAGGCGTTCCCGCCTGGCCCATAGGATTCAGGTGTGAGGCCTCGAGGCTCGCCAACAGGAAGCGTGCGCCATTCTTCTGGCCGGTCGCATGGCGTTCGTACTTCTACGCGAGCAATCCATCTGCAAAAAGATAAAAGAGAGAAAAAAGCGATTCTTTGTTAGAAGCGGACATTTTACTCTGAAATCCAATTGTGTGAACGCTACAAGCTTAACCCTGATTAAAGATTTAAAAAAAAATATTTGTGGATATCATGTTCGTTAGAAAGTATCGCCCGCCCATGGTACTTTCGTTATCTAAGCATTGTCCAGTAAAATAAATATAGAAGGGAGACGCATGGCGGTTGTATAGACGAGTGCAAGCAATGCGACTCGCCGCCGCCATACCTCTGCTCATGCGGACAAGCCCGTCCAAGTGCAAACTTGCCAAAGTTATGTTCGTCATCATCATCATTTATTAAACCTTGAAGGCCCTTACGGGCATCACACAAGGCAACACTCGGTGAAAAAAAAACATTATATTAAGCAACAAACAAAAAGTTGTTCACGCGCAAGCTGCACGTGCTTGCACGCACGGGGCGCCAGTCGGGCGCCATGCTTTCATGCGTCTAAAAACGTCTGGATATTTACTAAGGGATATCGTAGTAGACGTTGAAATGTGCTTCAAAATTCGAATTATCTCAAAAAGCCCCTTCGAAAGCTGGAACTTCTATTTTTTCTTCTTTTCTACTTCTAAGTCGGGAAGAAAAAACCAGCAAAGGAAAAACGTAAAAAATAAAATCTATAACTCGGAAATTTTATGGGATTACTCGAGATTGAAATAAGTCGGTCGCTAAAGAGACGAAAAAAAAAAAAAAAAAGAAGTCCTGGAGTTGCGAGGTCTTTTCAAGTCGGAAAAACTTTAAAACAGCAAACAAAACGAAAAAAAAAAAGTCTTCTAGAACTTCTTTCGTGACCCCCTTACCTTTTGTTTAAACTTTTGAGGGAAGCAGTGATCGCCAGCGCGTCGTATATAGCTCCGCGTCAAGAAGAAAAGTGTCCCCGGGCTAGTTCCATACCTTTCCCCTGCCTTCCAGCCATTTATATCGGCACACACCCGTGTCGGTTCAGCGCTTCGATTGGACAACTGAGCGACGCCGCGGTTCGCGCCCGCAAGTAAAGACATCAGACACAAACACACGCGCACAGACACGAAGACGGTCCCGCAGGCAGCTATAGACTCTGTTTCACCTGAACGATGGACCGCTGAGAAAGCTACGAGCCATCCGAACCAATCCAATGCAGTATCAGTGTCACGTGACCCTCGAAAGGGCTGCAGCGGCGTGCGGGGTGTGTAGTCACCCGATGTGTTCGCAGTTCTAGATTGGTTAGGGCGTCTCGTAGCGTCTGCAGCGCTCCATCGTTAAGGTGAAACAAAGTGTGGCAAGCAAAGCAAGACTCTCACCCTTCCACCTCTCTCTACTTCTTTGCCGAGAGAGAAAGAGAGCGAGAGAGAGGTAACACGATTTCATTTTCTCGGCCTCGCTTTTCAGTCTCATTTTGCTCCATGTCAGTCGCAATCCGTCCGCGCTATCCCCTCCCTCCTCCCCGGGATTTTCTCACGTACTTCCTCTTCTTATTCCTGACTCTCGTCCGCCATATCGATTACTTTCGGCCATTTCTTTTGCGCCTGTCTTATGACGGACCGCCAGAGCTGCGGAAACCGTTCTCCGCTTCACCTTCCCTTTTCTTCTACGGTTCTTCCTTTCTTTCTTTCTTTTTCCCTTCCTTTCTATCTTTCATTCTAATTACGATATATCTCTTCGTTTCGCTCGATTCCCTCGCCCCGAATCATTGGTGGCAATCGGTCACGGTCCTTTCAAGTGTGTGCCTGCAGTACTTGCTCGCGCCGAAACCGTTTCCGACCGGCCTCATGAATTCCTGGCGCCTTTTCCGGCGGCACGGATGAGATTGACTGAGGGGCTGCGCTCGTATTGTGTCTTTTGCGGTCGCGAGTGTGGCGATCATTGCTTCGATTTATTACTACGTCAGTTTTTTTTTTTTTTTTTTTAAACTTTGTAGTTTACTCTCTATTCGAGGTCAGGCTTTAAAGAGGCGTGGTTTATCGGATACCCCATCATCGTTCTAAATTAATTTTACTCGCTACGTATTGTACCCAATTCGCCGTATTTTTTTTTTTTTTCGTGTTACTGCCGACGTGGCGAATTGAATCAGTTTTGTTGGTAAGAGTACGATGTTCAGGAGGGAATAAGTAACTTGACAATATCCGCTTCTGAAGTTGACTATACTACAGAGAGGGGCACCACTATTGGCACCCGCAAGTGCAGTTTAACCGCTGGAACGCCATCTAGATGCTGCGCTTTGAAACGTACGCACTCCACAGAATACACTGCAGTTGCCATAGCAGCTGTCCGGCGCGTCGAGTGAGAAAGGGGGGGGGGGGGGGGGCATAGGGGGGGTCGCTCGTGCAAGCAGCGTGTATGGGCAGTTCCGTAACTGAGTTGATCTAATAACGCTGGTCTAGGGTCAGCTTTGTTTTCGAAACAAGGGTTCTAGTTTCTAATTCCTCAGGAATTACTCTTATTTCGTACAACACAACTCACGTTATTCATGTCAGATAACTTCGATAGCGAAAACTTCGAAAAGCCATTTGGGACCGTAGAAAACTGAAAGCCCAGCGAATGGGGGAGGGAGACAGATGATTGATTAATGGCACGTGGAGCACAAAATAAACACTGAAAACCTCGTGATGAATATGATCCTTACAAAATAGCAACAAAGGAAAGAAGTTTTTCTTTACTTATTTTGTGCTTCAGGAGAGGGGGGCATTAAAACAGTCGCCAATGTCGCATATAAAAACAAAAGGGAGAAAACCTCGAAATATCTCCGTGACGCCGTAACAACTTAAAAATAGAGACAAAATATACAATTGAGGTCTGAAATAGTTCTTCTTTTTGCGTGTATATCTTGTAACCGTTTTCGTCTTGTGTGTGACTTTTTTTTTTTTTTTTTTTTTTTCATGGAAGAGAACGAACTTTGAGCGAGAGCGCTCAGGCGCAAAAAGCCAGGTCATTTTTCTCTGGCTTTCTGGTGTCTAGGTCTCCGCAAAACAGAGAGTAGATGGAACACATCATATCGCACTCCGTTTGTTCCATCCTGCGCTCCGTCTCACTATACGCTGCACCGTGGCGCACGCTACGAAGCAACCCAGCCAATCAAGCACCGAGGGCGTTACCACGCGAACTTCCTCTTCCCGCGGCGATGCAAGCCAGCAGGATGGTCGCGTGTCACGTTCTCTTCGCTGGATCGACCGCGTTGGCTCGTGGCTTCCGCTGCAGTCCATTCCGAGACGAAACCTAACGCAGTCCTTTTGCATTCACGGCGGACTGCGTATTTGCCTCTTTCGTGAAACTTTTATTAGAGCTCATCGTTCGTACCCGAGGAAGCGGAAAGAGGCAGAAACGGACCCCAATACGCATGCATGCATTCTCGAGTGTACGAGCACTAACCTACCGACAAAGAGAAGACCAGACACGCAAACACAGATGCGGGCGCGCACACATACACGCACACGCGCGTGCACATATACGCGTGCTCTTCACACTAATGATATAAATAAGAAGAAAAAAATAAGAGTGAAGTGTTTCAGCGAAGGCCCTGGTATTTGCCTCTGGAAGAGTTTTCAGGCGCACACTTCGCGCAGAACGGGATGAGTTTTATCGCGTTCAGAAAAGGAAAAAAAGAAAAGAAATGTAATCATATTTTGCAAAGCAAAAACAAAACAAAAAAGTAATTTTCTTTTGAAATGGGATTCTCAGAAAGAAAGAGACAAGGGCACGAAAAAAATCCTTTAAGACAAGACAAAGTAGAAGGGGGCGAAATAACTGGGGAAGAAGAAAACATCACCAAGAGAGTCTCATACAGTTCTTTCGAGAACACTGAATGGGACTCCTGCTCCCATTCTATTGTTTCGCTTTTTTTTCTTCATTTGTTATCAAGGGAGTTAGGTAGAATAGTTTCCTTCGTTTTGGGGCGCATTTTCTTCTCGCATTGTTCTCCGGTTAGTGCATGTATGTACGTACGCGATTCGACCGTTTCGCAATTTAAATATGGAGAATGATGGTTGACAGCCATGTTTCGTGAATTCCAAACTTCCAACCTTCTTTGGCGACGTAACCAACCTAGGGTGCCTCAATGTCCTTCTGTTTAGGGTGATGCCACCCTTTGTAGTACCAGATGCCGACAGCGCGCGCTCACGGTCAAAATACAAAGAAATCGACGAAAACAAAATGTCGCCATAGCACAGTCAGCGCCACAAGCGCGTGCAGGGACACGCTCTTTCACGCGCTTGTCAACAAAAAATAAAAATAAACGTGTGTGACAAAAGGGCGAGATGCCACCACCCTAAGCAAAGCGCACATGAAGGCACCCTAAACCAACCAACTGCCGAGTCAGTCAGCGTCAAATTTGTTGTACGGAGTTTTATGGATAATATACCTCAACAAAATGGCGTCTGGAGTCTCGATGTAGATGAGCAATTAGGCCAACGCAGTACGATTAAAGTAGCTGACAGTTAAGAATTGCCGGGCGTTGCCTATCATGGAGAAAATTGTAAAGGTGCAGGCGAGCTGGTGAATATTAACCATGTTGAATTAACCTGAGACTGGGGTAGAGAAGAAACACTGAAACGTAAAAGGGACAATGTTCTACGTTTAGATGGTTCTTCTCTACCCCAGTCTCAGGTTATTTCAACATGGTTGCCTACCATGCTCGTACTTCTCGCGTCGTCGTTCCTCCTCCGGTGTTGTTATGTACAAATGCCACATCCTGGTTGAATGAGGACCAATAATAAGATAATAAGAGGATAAGAATAATAACGATCGAATTTTGGTGAAAGCGAGAGCGAGAGCGTTCTCGGCTGCTGATTGGACGGGCCACCAAGGCTTGCGCGTAATCAACCAATGAGGCATTTTGGACCCGTTCGC